TGCTAGAACATTCCCGAATTATTTTTCCTACATCTGTGAAGCTTTCATCCCATCCTGGAAGGCAGTAATACGGACTGCCGTGCGCACCCGGCATCGGTGCCAAGAGGTATGGAAAGTAAACGGGTTAAGGTGACCTTAGCCTCTCGAGGAGCACCGGTGGTGCTGAACAGCCTCGCGTGGTAAGCAGCACCCACGCTCCGTCAGCGTACGGCCAGAGGAGGCAGGCAGTACGCCCGGTGTGTCCTTCCGAGTGATGAACATTCAGCTGGTTTGAAGGAACTGAAGGGAAAAAATCCATTTTGGAGTAGCCTAAAACTATCCTCCCTTCTTCTCCTCTTCAAACTAAAAGCACACAAGAGCAACTAGGATGTGTTGTGTTGGGGAGCACAACAGAATCGTAGGTTCAGATACACCCAGCATACAGCTTAGGGTGCTTTGTTATGCTTTGGTGGCTCACCTAAATGAAAAGCATCCCTTTTCTTTGCCTCTGGGCTGTCTTTAAACGCCCTATAAAATTAAACAGCTCTTTTCTTACTCAATATGAATTATGGAAGTGCAAGTAAACATCCAATCTAGCTCTATTTGCCCTTCTCTAATACCTTGACAAGGGGGAGCGCTGCAAACCCCGCAGCCACCTCTGCTGAACGCCTGCTCACAGCGGTGCGGCCTCCCAAGAGCAGCCTGCTTAACCGGAACCTTTGGTTTTGTATTTCAGCTCTATGAAAGCGCCCTGTCTGAGAATCAAAAGCTTAAGTCAAAACTGCAAGAAGCCCAGCTTGAATTGGCCGACGTCAAATCAAGGTTGGAAAAAGCAGCCCAGGTAAGGCGGAAAGCGGCTCCTAGGCTGGAGAAACTCAGCACTGGCCCGTGACAAGCTGATGTAAGTTCCAGCTTGGGAAAGGATGTAGCTCTTGGGAGGGAAGGTGCTCCAGAGGAGACTCTTATTTGTCACAGAAATAAATGTGATTCTGTAGAGACTTCTCCTTCTCCGGGCAAGTGCATCTGTAGGATATCTAGGCCTTTGTGCAGCATCCTGCGAACGCTTCTCCGTTTTAATAGCTTTCTATTTTTAATTTACACAGCAGAAACAGGAGAAAACTTCTGACCGGTCCAGCATGCTGGAGATGGAGAAAAGGGTATGTGTCTCTGCTTTCTACTGGGTCACAATCTTTGCCTCGTGGTGCTTTGCAGGGCGTAGTAATTTCTTGAAGGAAAATATTAATTAAAAGATAAGTTATATTTTTGCCTTGTGGAGCAGTGCACAGTGATAATTGTGTTCTGACCTTTTCAGTGTCTGAGACTTTTCTGCTTTCTTCACAAATCAGCTTAGTTCTGATTTCTTTCTTTCATCATAGGAAGCAGCAGACCAACGAATTGTATTGTATCGTGCTAAGAGACTGTTGGTCCATTATGCTTTTAAATATTCGTAATCCTTATAAGTAGTCTTTTGGGGTGGAAGAGGACAAAGCAAAACACTAGCTGGGTGTCTGTCTTGTGATTATACTTGAAATCTGAATGTTTGAATGCTGCTTCCTCTTAACTGAGCAGTCAGATTCATTGCAGTAAGCTCAGCTGAGCAGACAGTGTCTGATTAAATCTCTGCTTTAAGTGACCATAGCTTTGGGCAGGTTGGGACCGACCTGAGGAGGTCTGTCGTTCATCCAAGCAGAATCAACAATGAATTTGAACCAGTTGCTCAGGGCTTTGTCCTGTTGTTTCATGAAGACCTCTGGGTGTTGAGTTACCACAGCTGCAAACCCTTGTTCCAGTTCTTAAATATCCCCATAGCGATCTTTTTTCCTTATATCTAGTCAGAACCCATGTAAGCTGATGGCCATTCTCTCATTCTCCCACCACGTAGCTCAGTGGTTAATGAAAGCTGGAGCCTGGCTCTGGTTTGTCAGTAATGCCCACTTACATGTTGGAGGGTCACCTGGAGTGGAGGCTCCTCCTAAAGTGTTTCATCTCCTGAATTTTTAGGAGTTTTTCTGGATGGTCAAACCATGTGTTTAAATTCAATTCCTACCATGAAAGACCTTAATGATTCATGTGTAAATACTTCCTGGGATTTGGCAGACATAGTCTGGAGGAGGTGATATCCAGGCTGTCCACGTGGGACAGGAGCAGTGTTAGGCAGAGCCCATCAGCGCTCAGCACAGGCACCAGGCTTGGACGGTTGAAGTCCCCAACGTTGCTGAAGCTACAAGCTCAGCGGAGCATCCCTGCACCAGTGTGAACCCCATGACTGAGATTCTCCAAACACGGTGCCTGGTTCCTGCGTTTACGACAGCATTATCGAGCACAGGCAGTGCTGCTGGGGAGTCATAGAATCACAGGATGGTTTGGGTTGGAAGGGACCTTAAAGCCCACCCAGTTCCAACCCCCCTGCCATGGGCAGGGACACCTTCCACTAGACCCGGTTGCTCCAAGCCTCATCCAGCCTGGCCTTGGGCACTCCCAGGGATGGGGCATCCACAGCTTCTCTGGGCAACCTGTCCCAGTGCCTCCCCACCCTCTCCAGGAAGAATTCCTTCCTGATATCTAATCTAAACCTCCCTGTTTTCAATTTAAACCCGTTACCCTTTGTCCTGTCACTACAGGCCCCTGCAAAAAGTCCCCCCCAGCTTCCTTGTAGCCCCTTCAGGTACTGGAAGGCGGCAATAAGGTCTCCCCGGAGCCTTCTCTTCTCCAGGCTAAACAAGCCCAATTCTCTCAGCCTTTCATCATAGCAGAGGGGCTCCAGCCCTCTGAGCATCTCCGTGGCCTCCTCTGGACTCACTCCAACTGGTCTATATCCTTCTGATGTTGAGGGCTCCACAGCTGGACGCAGCACTCCAGGGGGGGTCTCACCAGAGCAGAGTACAGGGGCAGAATCCCCTCCCTCGACCTGCTGGCCACGCTGCTCTGGATCCAGCCCAGGATACGGTTGGCTTTCTGGGCTGCCAGCGCACACGGCCGGCTCATGTTCAGCTTCTCACTCCCCAGTACCCCCAAGTCCTTCTCCTCAGGCAGAGTCAGGCAGAGGTGGAGCTTCTCTCCTGATGGTGTGGTGGTCAGAGCTCATGCCATGAGGGGTGATACCCAACCAGAGGGACCTCACCACACACCCCTTCTCCCACCCGTGGGATGCTGCTGTTGGGGCGATGTCCTGTATCGTGTTTGTTGAATTGGGATCGTGACAGCCACAGGTGCAGTTTACTGAAAGTTGAGAGAGAAAAAATGTGCCTGACGGTTCTCAGTGAAGATGCCATTAACTGCTTCTGGGGTGGTTCATGCGTTTCGCACTGACAAATCCCTGAATGAAGTGTGCTGTGTACCAGAAGTTACCCAGAACCCATCCCCCATGGCCACACTCAAAAGCTGTGTTTTCCTCACTCTCCTGGCCTCACGTTCCTTTGCAGAGGGTAGAGGATCTGAGCAGAGGGTGTAAAGCCTGTTCCTGACCCATGTTTGCCTTTCCCTCCTGCTCAGTGCACTTTCCCGGGGTGGTTTGAGCCCCGCTCATGTTGAAAAGTCACTGATGTAGTCCAGATCTCCCCCGATGCAAGGGCCCTAGCTGTTCACCAGTGCTTACGTGGCAGAGCCTACCTGTGTGATTGTCGGTTCCCAAAACACACTGAAAGTGGTCAGCTTTGCAGCTTTGAAGCCCTAAATTAATCTGGGAGAAGCAGAATTTCCAGGCACTTTTCCTTGTTTGCTGTTCCGTATTTGAGGGGCTCAGGAGTTTTCTCCTTGCCTCCTGTGGTGCAGTTTGAATCCGGGGCTTCGCCTGCAGGGCTCAGAATCGCATTGCATCGGGAAGTCCCGAAAACTGGGATCAGTGAAGGTGGGGGGATAGCTGCATGGAAGGGGGTGAAGAGAGCTCAGGATCTGCCGTACTGCCTGCTGGTTTACCAACTGCCCTGTCCTGTCTGACCCACTCCCAGTCGCAGCCTGTGTGTTGCTTTGAGATGCTTTTCAGGGAACGCTCCTGCAGAAATACAAGGTTCTTCTTGTTCTTTAAAAGCAAAGGTACTGTGTGTTTTTCTTCTAAATCCTTGTGACCATCTTTGTTATGAATCCTTGTAAACAGGAGAAGCGAGCCCTGGAGCGGAAACTCTCTGAAATGGAAGAGGAGATGAAGGTAGGAAATAATCTATTCACTCTGTCTGTTCTGGTTTTTATGGTTTGTATTAATGGCTTTTGGGATTGTCACCCAGGAGTAGGGCAGTAGAGGTGTAGATGGGAAGGGACTCGTTACTTCTGAGCATGTTTCTTTATGCAGTCAGAACGTACTTTGATGGGCATGTTCTGCAAACATGAAATACTATTAAAACTGCCCTATTCTCATTCATCTGATCGCACCATATGTTTAATTTGTTATGCTGTTCGAGCCGAGAACTGTGAAAGCTGTTCTCCTTAAATGCTTTCCAAAACTAACCTTTTGTGGCATCGCTGAGTTTCAGTGTGCTGATCCTCTGTGCTCTGAATAGTCCGCAGCCCAAGTCAAGCCATTGTGGTTCCCTCCAGACGGGTAAGAAGACAAAGCTGGCTTTTGAGATCACGCACGCTAGCCAGCAAAAAACACAGAGCGATTGTTTCTGTACTCCCTTCCGAAAGCATGTTACCGGAAGGCTGTGTCAGCCTGGGATAGATTTCAGCAAAGAGGAGTTTGCTTCATGACGAAACGTGCGGCATGGCTTGCTGTCACGAGACAATGCGCCCCCGACTGCTCCTTTTCGTTCTCTCTCTCGTGCCCGTGCTGCAAAGGATGGTTCTCTGGCCGTGGCGGGGTGCCCTGCGAGCACGGGGCTGGCAGGGGAGCACTGCGGAGCTGGAAGCAGTGGGTTTTGCTACCTAAGTACACCTAAAACTTCACTCTGACTTTGCAGCGTCATACCCTTTTACGCTATGTTTTACAGCTCATTAGCACAGAATCCCCCTTGGCTGTGTGCCCTGCACTTTCTTTCCCTTTGAGCGTGACCCAGGTGGCACCAAGCTACTTTAAGAAGGAAGGACCCCATCTGAGAGCTGTGAGCTCTCCCGGCACGGTGTCCTGATGAAAACGATTTCCTGCCACTCTAGAGCAGGTTCCAACTCCAGGTTTCCATCTGAAGCTTCATGTATTTACTGAGTGTAAGTCTTTGAAAGGACCCACTGGCTTGTGCTGCATCTGCTGCTGAAGCAAGGAGCAGAATGATTTGGTGGAGTCTTGCTGTGAAAGGTTCTCATGTTCTCTCACAGAGGAGAAAATAAGTGTGGACGTGCTGGCCAGAAGGGAAAGGAGAAAGGACTGAATATGCCTAAATTCCATATTCTTTGTTTGCTGAACACGTAGCACCTTTAGCTCCAGAGACACCTTCCTGTAATTACAGGGTACGGCCTTCAAGAGCAAACGCAGGCAGTAGCAGTTGGCGTTGTTTCTTCAGCTATGCAAACAGCTCAGCCGATGGAGTAGAAGACAAATTGATGTCCTCTAGTGGCCTGTCGGTTTTGAAACATTTAAATTGGTTCGGAATATAACGAACCTGCCTCTAGGAGCTGTTGGACGCAGCCAAAGCAACTCTGGTTTGGGTAGTCTGGAGCTGCAGACGGATGGAAGCCAAGAGGGTGCCAGAGGAGAAGCACTGCCAGAAGTCTGACATGTCCTTACGCTGCCCCGAGAGACGTGCTCAAGCTAGAAGAGCGTGTGGTCTGACTGAACGTGAGCTATCAGGTCCTCAAGAGTGGTACTTACTCCTTGCTCTCTGCTGCGTTCTTGCTGCATCAAACAGCTGAAGTGGCCGTTTGTTAGTAGAATAGAGAGACATGCAATTTGAAAATCTCTCTTATGTGCTACTGCGTTCCCACTATTTTTTGCAAATCTCAAGAGTGTGGTGGTACCTGAGTGCGCTGTGACATGTCTTTTTTGACAGCCACTCAATGAAAAGAAACACAACATCTCTGAAGATCAAGTCCATAAAGAAGGCAGACTTCTGTGTCTGCTTTCCTCATGCCTTCCAGCAGGAGTCAGCCTGGATTTGATTGCCCAGCATGAGATAACTCCGCAGAGCATCTGAGTCCATCCCTGGTGTGGAAGTTGAGCCAAGAAAACAAATCTCTTCATTCTGGTTAGACTTTCATTCCTGCTTCCTGCACTAGCTGAAGAGCTGTCGAGCAGAATCCGAAGGAATAAGCAACTTAAGCAAATCCACCAGTTTCCTGTAACGTGAAGAGCAGCGAGAGGGAACAGCCAAATGTGCCAGGTTATTAGATCTCGGGTAATGCTGCTGGGTTTAGGGCTCTTCCCACTGGTCTTTGAATTGAACCGGTCCAGTATGGCTCACGTCCAGCCTTTGGATCCTGGGGGGACTGTGTGCAGTTCTGTGCATCAGATGCCCAGGGTTTCCTCTTCTTGCAGCTGACTTCTTAGGAAGTACGGCAGTGGTCACAGGACGGTCCCGGGTTTCTGTGACAGAAAGGCTTTGTGCTTCAGCTTGTGCTTGAGGTAACAAGCTTTGTTCATTATGTAACCCCTGCTAACGGAGCAATCAAGGAATGGAGAGTAGCGGGACAAACTCTGTAATCTCAAGAACTCCTTGGTGCCAGAGCTGCTCCTGCAGACCTGCTCTTGTGAAGGTGACAGAGCGGTGCAGCTTTTTCCTGAGTGACTGCAGAATTTGACTGGAGATACAGCAACTTGGCTGAGGAAGGAGGAAGAAAATTAGCATTTTCACTGAACTGAATTCAGTGCCAAGTGCCTGAGGTCCCAACTTAACACAGCGATTTTTCTTGAAGGTCACAGAAGCTTCTTTATTCCATAGCAGCACTGCACCTCCTGGCTTTGAACACTGTGCATGCTTTGGGCATTTTGATTTCCCCCAAGCGTCTCAGGCACAAAATCCTTTAATTGAAGGCAGGTACAGCCGAACTGAGAAACCTGCTTTCCCTAAGCCAAGTACCAAGCAGAGCGATAAGCAATCACAGTGGTGTAGTCCAGATTCTGGTCTTCGCCCTTGGCTTCAGTCCCAGTTTCCCGGCCTTTGCTAATGTTTCTTGGATAAATACAAGGCTGTCCTACCTGCACACACACATTTTTATGTAAGTGATCCTTTTTGTTGGCGGCAGCAGCGTGCAGAGGCTGAGCTGGCCTGGTCATGCCATGCTGAGGTTCATGCTGTATTGGTATGGAAAAATACAGGGGGTCTCTAAAGCAATCATAGCCCTTTCCAGCCCGCGTAGCACAGCACCCCATTGGACACATGTCTGACATTTTCTGCCAGCCCAGTGCTCAGCTCTGCTCCCTGTCATAACACAGGAGGTTTATCTTCCATCGAACCACCACAAGAAATGGTTCTTCTAGTATGCCCCATGCTCCTGGGTGCCATTTATCACAGGACAAACGTGTGATGTCCATCCGTGTCCTCGCGGGGTGTAGGGGAGCCAGCACAGGCTGAGCGGGTGACGTGAGGTTTGGTGAGAGGGGGTCTCGTGGCTGAGGTGTCCCTGAGGCTCTCCTGCAGTTTGTTGGCCGTAGCTCTGCCTTGGGACCGGCCGATTTATCTGGTGTCAGAAGTGCACTGGTGTAGTCCAAGTAGCAGGAGCCGCTTTGTCAGTTTGAGGACCTCGGGGGGCTCAGACCTCACCCTTCGCTGCCTCCCTGCATGCTCCTGCCTTGTGTCAGTTGGATTTGCAGGACTTTCGGACAAAGTATCTTGATCGCTTAAGAGGGAGCAGAGGTGGTGCTCTTGGGCAGCTGGAATCAAGCTGATGGATGGGGGCTACACGAAATACTCCTCTTTTATGCAGGAATGAGCCCTTGGACAGAATGTCCTGGGATGCAGCAGGTTCCTTGCCAACTGCAGCCAGCTCCGTGTCGTGCAAGTCAGGGGGAAGTGCGTGCAAGTTCTTGGTATCGCAGTAGATTTGCCAATGCAGCTTCTGATTAAGGACAGACAGTGACCTCCCTTTGAGCACTTTCTGCTGATGAAATGGCAGAAAGGAGTCCCCTTCCCAGTAGACCCTTCCCTCCATCTCCTCCTCCCTGCCACCACAAGCTCGGGAGTAGGACACAAGGAAGAGCACACTGGTTTGCAGGCGGGACAGAAGGTGCTTTGGTTCTGGGCTGGGATTTCACTTGAACTCAAAACGGCATCGTCTCCTCGCAGATGTTTCCCTTCCCACCTTCCCCCTGCCTGGTGTCTGTGCACCCTCCACCACGGAGGAGGCTTTCTTGTTCACGTGGCCGTGCTGCCCGACGAGCTGTCAGGAGGAGGGAGGGTCAGGACGCTGCTCAGAAGGCAGCTCGGCAGCCCTCAGCACATCCTGGCACCCGCGCTTCGTGTAACTGCCCAGCATATGGTTTTTAGCATCGCCCAGAAAAACCTCATCCGTGTCCAAGAAATGGTGCTGTCTGCATGGCTTTTACCAATTTCCCATTTTGCCTTCCTCACTGCTTTTACGTCCAATGTCCCCCTGTTACTGCTGCACCTGTGTGAGCCCCAGCTCAGGGGGGCTGTACTGTCCTTTGCCCACTTGTTTCTTCTGTAACCCCAAATGCCGTGTTTCCACGTGCCTGAGACGCGGTCGTTCAGACTCCTCCAGTTAAAATAACCAGTTCAAGGTTCTGACTTCCCACCTTTGAAGATCAGAGATACGCTGAGTCTTGTGACGGAGGAGAGTTGAATCTGGGCAGGGATGAAGACACCCCCACCCCACGCCCCAGCCCTTTCGGCAGGGCTGCAGCCTGAGCAGAGCCAAGAGCCATCACCCGGGGGTGAGGGGTGTGAGCAGACGCGGTGTGTGTCTTGGTGCTCTGCCGTAGGACAGTGACACTTGCTGCTGCTTCAGTCCGTGCCTCAGCTTTTTGCTACACAGGACCACTAGCTTTCAGAGAGGTAGGAAGAACAGGAGTTTTAGAGAAACCAGCAGTGCTTTCGAAGCCGGTGTGGGCGGTAGGTCACTGGTGGCAGCTCTCGCAGCAGTCCCTCAGTCCGGGTGCTGCTGGAGCTCACTGTCTGGCTCAGTTAGAATATAACCTGCATCTGTCCTGCTTTGTGGTGGAAAATCCCTTTATTTGACCTTGTGAAAGGCTTTGGGGGCCCTCAGAGGAAGGGATGGTTCCCAAAACATCCTCAGTGTGTTGCAGGGCTTTCCCCATACGCTGCTGCCCATCCAGCACTCACTGCTACTAATTATTCTTTTTTTTTCTCTTTTTTTTCTTTTACTGCGTGTGGACTAAATACACATTTCTGTGCCCTTTTGTCTTCGTGGTGTGTTTTCTCTGTATTTTTCTGTCCACTCCTCTCGCTCTCTGCAGAATCTCCACCAGCTCAAACAGATTCACACTCTGAGGCAGATGAATGAGCAACTGCTGGCTGAAAACAGGGCTCTGACCCGGGTCGTAGCCAGACTTTCTCTGCCTGCCAAGCCCTCCGAATCAGAGGAGCTGTAGCTGCATTCCCTCCAGCTCATCTCGCCTCCTTCTTCCACTCTTCCAGGCAGGTCTCCGCTACCTTGGCCGGGCTGTTCCCCCTCGCCTTGCTGCTCTCAAGGGTGTCTGGTGAAGCTTGTGGCTCTGAAGCAGCATGTGGCAGCAGATCCTCCAGAAGTGTGGTGTTGGCCAAGGGCAGGCTTTCGCTGGGGACTCTGCTCAGCCCTCAGGACTTTTGCTCTGCTTGGCAGATGATGCTGACCTCACCGTTTCACTAACCGACTGCCTCGGGGCTTGCCTTGTCTGTGTGGAGCCCGTCATCTGGGGGAGAAACAAGGGGCCGTGCTCTCCCCCGTGACACGAGGACGCAGGGCTGGGTGGGTGGCACTGCAACGGATCAGCTGCTGTGGTTTAACACGGCCAAATGGCTTTGGGCTGACCTGTCAGTGCCCACAGGTTAGCCAGCAGCCTCTTCCCCACGACCCAGCCTCGAAACCAGTGGTTTATGCAGCGTGCCTGCTCCCAGTGTAATTATTTTTAATTGGACTTAGTTCAGTGAGAAGCTGGCGCCCAGGGAGTGGGGTTATCCAGTCAGAACAAACAGCGTCATGAGTTTCCGGGGATGTTATGGAAAGTGCCCAGTTCAGACAGGAAGGCGTTTTTTAGAAAATCTGGGCAGTCCTCAGCAGGTCTTCTCGGTCACTTGAGCAAAGAGGACAAGGACCTTCCCTCATTTTAAACAAAGATTCTGGAGTGCAAACTCACAGGTTGCAGCACCCCCTCTGCCTCCCGCGGGCTGGCTACCAGGCAGGTGAGGTGACAGGAGCCAGACCGGGGTGCTTTCTCTTCTCATCTTCAGTTTTAAATCCAGCGCAGAGCAATTAGTGTTTGAAATCCAAGGACAAGCCTTCCATAAGCTTTGCCCTCGCACATCACGCAGTTAAATTACATCTTTTCTTGCTACTTCATTGGTTTGGTGCTAAAATAAAGCTGTAATTGCTTTTTTCTTAGAGCCGTACCTGTGTTTTGCAGGTTAGTAGGGGTAGTCAGATCCCTTCAGACAGCTATTTTTTGAAAAAAGGAAGAAGCAGTAAGCTCTGGTGGGCTGGAAGTGGCACTATGATACAAAAAAAGATCTATTCTTAGCACACGAATTATATCAAGGATGATTAACCATCGAAACAAACTAAACAGGGGAATTGTGGCTTCCCCCTTCTGGGAGTCTCAGTTCAAGACCACACATGTATCACAGCGGCTGAGAGGGGGGGTGTTTCGTGTCATGTGGCCTGGATTGTGCAGATGGTCAGATTAAATGATGTCACCATCTTTCTGGTTTCAATCTGTCACTGTTCCTTCTCACAAGCGGCGAGTCTTAGTCGTTCTCCTTTCCAACGTGCTTTGAGATCTGAAAGGGAAAACTGAGCAAAACTATTTCCAGACTCAGAGAAATAGTTTCACAAACTGTAAGTCACTGGTCTCCCTTCTTCTCCCAGGAAACACTCGCGTTAGGGCATTCCCCTGCTAACACCCGTCTGCTCTGATGCGCCCTGACTCGCGTGGGCTGGCTGGGACACGGGTGGACTGGTCCCTCTCGGCTTGCTTACAGCTTGGCAGTTCACTGTTGGTGTCCGAGCTGGAGAGCAGCCGTGTGTCTGCAAGCTCTGCTGGTTTTTCTCAACTCTCTTGTCTAACACAGGATGTTGCTGGTACCTGCAAACCTTGTCTCTCCACTGTCTGTGGGCATCCCAGCTACACTGTAATGTCACTGCTCTGAACTCTGACAGATTTACCACACTCGTGCAGCAGTGGTACTTTTCAGAGAATCTCCTTTTCCTAAATCCATGTAATTTCTGAGGAGCCACCTCCCGCAGTGTCACAGGTAACACACAGCACCACTGCTCAGAGCCACCTCTGGCCCAGAGCTCCCTTTACACCAACGCTGCATCATGGTCAGCTTCACCATCCCCGTGGGCTGTGCTACATCCCTCCTTACCATTTCTTATGAGACATTTCCAAACCTCCAGTTTTCAGGCCCCTACATTATCCGCCTGCTTCACGGGCAGTTTCTCTTACCTGGCTTGAGGCTACTTTCCCTCCCCCTTGGCCTAGGGGAATGAAGTCTGGGAAGGCTGATTTTTAGTTGTCAGAAAGCTTGACTGGAAAGGGATGGAGTGGAGTTGCAGCTGGGAAAGTCTTCAAGAAGCACTTGCTTTACATGTACTTATGCCCCTTCGTGTTCGAATAAACCACCGAAGCTGGATTGAACATGTGTGTGAGGGACAGCCACCACCAGAGCTTCCAGTAACTGCAGAACTGGGACGGCTGCTCTCTGATGTTGCTTCTGGGAACCTGTGACAGAGTCTCTGTGCCAGAGCAAGTGGTAGAACTCCATGTCAGTATTTTACTGGAGTGGTGGACACATTCAAGGCTGCAAGGCCACCCCAAGCAGTGATGCAGAGAGGACAGACCCCGGGAGGTGGTTGACCTGTCGCTGCACTGGGCTGGAAGCAGCGTGCTGTGGTATTAGGTGAAGCCCAGGAGGAAAGGGAGGAGGGTAGAGGGAGACAGCAAGTGCTCTCCCCGTTTCTCTGGGCTCCTCAGCACTTCAGTGGTGGGCGATGCCTCTCATCTGGCCATGAGGAGTCATGCCTGCTGTTCGGGTGACAGCCCTGTCATGGAGATGTGCCTGTCACACCACCAGGACCAGTGGCACACCAAAGCATCACTAGCTGAAGGCCCGGCCAGCCCATCGCATAGTTTTACCCTTTCCCCATTATCCTGCCATGCTGCGCCGTGTGTGCCCCCCGTGAAACATCCGGACTGGAGCATCGAGCACCAGTTGGGGTGCTGGATGCTCCCGGATTGCCCACCGGGGTTGGGCGCCGGGGGCAGCGGTGGCTTGGCCTGGCTGTGCAAGGGGCGTGGGAGCTGGCGTCTGCCCCGGAGCTGCCCTCGCTGGGGGCGGGCGGCCGGTGGAGGGGCTGCGCAGGAGAGGAACGGATCCCCTGAGATCCACCTGGGTAGAGAGAAGCCACAGCTGAGCTCGTACAGGTGCTCTTAGTGCCTGCATGTGAGCCTGCTCCACCCCGGCTGTTCAGCAGCTCTGGGGCAGGTCCAGTTACCCCTTCTGTGTCACACGCCGAGACAAGCAGCACGGGGTCTCCTTCCAGTCCACAGTCGGCTGGGGACAGTCCGTGAATGTCACCCGCCTACAGCGTGGGAAGCAGGGGGAGTCAGGAGCGTTTTATGCCAGTGAGAAATGATGGAAAGGTCTCATCAGAGCTCTCTCTTCCTCTGTTTGCAACTAAACGCTCGCTGGCTTTTGACTGCCTTGTGACCCATGGTTGTGCTCCAGCGTCCAAAATCGAGCACCAGTGTCAGAATGTCCTGCCAGTCTTCTCTCCGTGGCGTGTGCATTTGCATTAAGCATCTGTAAAATCCTAAAGAGATTTGGTTTTATTCTGAAAAGATTTTGCAAGCCAGGCTTGGTCCAGTCCTGGCTTAGAATTTCAAACCTTTGTCTTCCTCTCTAGTCCTGGCAAAATGGAACAAACAAATCAGGAACACAGTTTTATAGCTTTCTGCCGAGTCCTGTATAGCCTCTGGGAACACGTTTGGGATGAAACAGCTCAGAAATGGTTCCTGCCCTCCCAACCTGGTCCTGACCTCATGCTGGGGCCATAGCATCGCTTCTTACTACGGGCTTTCCTGGCACCGGGGGCTCCCTGGCTCTTTGCTGTGCTCAAGTCGCCGCTCGACCTCACTGCACCTGATGCTCAGTTTGTAAAAACGCTGGAGAAGTGACAGAGGAATTCCTGACACTGCAGTGTACTGGGTGCAGGGTGTGCAGGAAGGAAAGCTCTGCACGCTGCAGGCACATCACTGGTGAGAGGGACACGAGCCAAGCGTCCAGCTGCAGCCCTGGCCACAGGGATGCCACATGCCTGCTGTTCCCTCTGAGCCATGGGGCTTGTCCAGCTGGCAGCGCCGAGCTGTACTCCCACCTGGTTGTTGTCTCTCTGAGCTGTAATCCCGTCTTGTCTTTTTCTCTCTGCAGATTTTGACAGAGCTGAAGTCGGACAACCAAAGGCTGAAGGACGAGAACGGAGCCCTCATTCGTGTCATCAGCAAGCTCTCCAAATAGGAAGCCTGAGCAAAGGCAGGACAAAGAGGGGTGCCCTACACAAGCTGCCAACCCCGCCACCACGCCCTACCCCTCTCTTTTCCTCCTGTCGAACGTACAGCAAGCGTTTCAGCCCTGGGATCAGTCTGTCACACCTGCATTGCCCTGCCCTTTGCTGTACATTCCCTTTCTGCCCTTATTTTCCCCACAACACACACCCCTGCCATTTTATTGGTTTTAATTTAAGTATGTTATGGTATCTCGGACGTTTTATTACAGGGAGAAAAAAACTGTGAGGACTGGGTTTGAGCTGCCAAAACTTCTTCCAGAAGCCCGGTATTTGGTGTTGGACTCCAACTGGGAGTAGGTAGCTCTTACTTTAAAAAGTGACACCTAAAGAACTAGCCCAGCACACCCAAACCCTTTACAGGTGGGAAGTGGGAGCATGGGCTGGGACTGAGGGTGCACATCAACCCCCCCGAGCTGTGGGACTGTAGTTAAAACACGATGCTGTGAAAGTCACCGGGGTGATTTCTGTAAGAGGCTGGCAACAACTGCTCCACACAGAGACCTTCTCCTTTCGCCCCAGTAGACCGAGTCTTGTATTTAATACAAGTTTTCAAACCTGTTCAGTAACGTCAGTGTGGACTCGACTTGAGACCCGCTCCCCCCATCCCTCACCCTGCCTTTCCTCCGCAGCCTGGATGGTTTGGTGTCGCCGTGTCCTTCTGGGGCTCCTGTCTCAGTAGCTAGTGGCACCTGCTGATTGCATCCGGACTCCTGCTCCTCGGGACAGGATGTGTCACAGATACTTGCCAAGCTTTCTGAAGGACAAGCTTGAACCCCTAGGGATGCTCTGCTGCTTTCACGTGTATATGAGCATGAGTCACCTGGCAGGGAGCTGTGCCCACCCCAGAAACCAACCTCCCCGTCCCAAGAGCCGCCTGGGACGTTTTCCTACTGTCTCACGAAGGCCAAGCCCTGCAGAGGAGTCTGGTCAGGTTTGGAGGCACCTGGCTTTGGTTTGCAGCGGGAGACTGACCTAGTGGAAGGCGGCACTCTGGTTCGTAGTGAGAGGGGGTGCCAGAGCCCAGTCCCACCCGCCTGGCTGTGGTGGAGCAGCTGGATGCAGCTGGGTTTCAAGGCAGAGGAGCGTGAAGCAGCCATGACTTGTCCTCCTGCGTGCCTCGGGGGGGTGTGGGTGCCCTGGTGACAGAGGGACAAGGAGCTACCCTTGGGAGTGCTGGTGACTATCACTAGGCTGAAAGTCTCTTAATCTGTCAGAAGCTTGCAATAAGCCTTGACCTTGAAGGAAACCTCAAAAAAAAACCCCTCTTTAATGTTATATGTACTCAGAACAGTTTGAAATTGTTCTCTCTATGGGCATTTAGACGGTGGCTCCTCTACGTGCTGTGTGATTTTGATGACAGCAGCAGTAACCTGTCATCAGAACTGCAGAGCTTCCCTTTCACAGACTCCTCAAAGGATACCTTCCCTCTCAGAGGCTGCTTCTGTATCCAAACCACTTGTCCATCTACATCCTTCCGCATTTGTCCTTCCATCCCCTTTGTCCTTTGATTTCCCTGCTCCGTCTGGCTGAGAGTTGCAGTCTCAGTCCCTGAACTTGGAGATGGCCATGCAGAAGCTCTGCCTACGCTCCTGGGCACCTCTGCTGACCGTGGGCTCGTGGCTCCCGCCGGCTAGTAGGGCTCTCCTCTGTGAGAGAGAGATGAGATACTTGAACATGAGCGTAATCCTTGAACAGGGTGAAGTTTTTCTCTGTCAGTCAGTCCTGGCCTTTTTGGAACCGTTGGCTGGTGATTGCTTCAGAAAGCCTGTTTATTTTCCTCTCCCTTGGGTTTTTTTCTTTGGTTTTGGGGTTTTTTTTTCCTAATTGTCCATTTTTCCCCTTTCCCTCCCCATCCTGCCTCTTTCCACCTCTCTAGTTCTTAGAGCTGCCAGTTTTTCCCCAGGCAGCTCTAGACAGAGGTT